CATCGTCATATCGAATGATTCAAAGTGACAGAAGCTTCTAATTTCATCTCATTACAAGACATCTTTCCCTCTATCTCTTGTGCTCCCTCTCTCTCTCTCTCTCTCTATCGTTCATTGTCTTCCCGTTTACTTGTCGACACATAAGAGAGCACGTAATGAACCGAACCTCATATTATCAGACACGTAGTAGCCGAGGCTTACTCCTTATCGTTTCATTCCTGTTCAATTCTGCTGCTGCTGCAGCTTCTTCTTCTTATTCAATTTATTCCATAAGTTTGAGACTATTTTCCGTTGCTAACTCTGTGTTTCCTTCTTCATCCTCTCGTCTTTGAATTGTCGTTTATTTCTTTGGAATTATCAATTCATTTTCAGCCAGTTCATTTCTCAAATGGTGTCCTATGTCGACCCGATCCAGGCTTCTGCTATCACGAGAACAAACTGATTGACGACAATCACGGAAAAGGTCATTTATAGCACCTGACATCCTGGAGTCATCCGGCAATTTCTTTTGTAAGCATGATAAGGAGAGTGAGAGAGCATGAAAACTTTTAAGAGATTTTTCAGCTTATAGACATAAGCTTAAGCCAACAACTAGAGAGAATATACGAAACAGTCTTTCGCTCTCTCTTTTTGCTTCATGCTTGGATATATCCATATTCACATGCGTATGTGGTGGCATTCCTCAGGTCCCAGAGGTCGTAGTTTCAACAACCATAAGCGGCGTGTAAAAATATGAGCCAACTAGGCTAGGCAAAGGTCTTTAAGCTTTCGCTTCAAAAAAATCTCGAAATGACAAGGCTAGACAACTTGTTGTGCTTTTACGATTTCATTTTAAAAATAACTGAGTGAGAATGTAAAGAATAACCAGCCATTGCTATAGTTTCAATTCTTTTCTCAACTCATTATTCCGCCTATTCTTTGAAATCTGTCGTCTCGCATACTTTTATTCCCTCATTTGTTTTCCTCCGCTAGCTTTCTCTTTTTCTTTGTAATAGTTATCTCCCTCTCTTTATCTATATGAATCTTCTTTCCAAGTTTTGTCTGTATGATAGGGGAAAGGAAACCCGTTATTGGCAGCAATCAACGTACTCTCCTCTTTCTCTCTTATTTCATTGGCTTTTCTTAGTTGTGTGTCTGTGTGTTGCAACCACCGACATCACCATCTCCACTACCACTAGCACCAGTCGGCAAGTCAGTCAGCCAGCCAGCCAGCTAGCCAGGGATAGCAGGATAGCACGCAGGCAGGCAGTCAGGCAGTCAGGCAAGCAGGAGATACATGCACATGAACAAGGAAAAGTTGAAGAAGAAAAAGGAGACAGGAGTTGATAGATTAAATGAAAATATGAGGGAAAGAGAAAAAGAGATGACGAAGAGATAGAATGCAACCGTCCTGTGAGTCTGAGAGAGAGAAATGAAAGATACACACTATGTCTCCTCCTTTTTCACACTAGTCGTCATTCAAGCTAATAATGTTCTTTTTCTCTTCTCCCCTCATGCCTCGTGCTCTCCGTCCTGTGCAGTCATTTTCATTTCCTCTTCTTATCACTGTTATTCAGCTTCGTTACTGATTTTTCCTTTTTTTTGTTCCAACAAAAAAAATTTAAATATTTGTTTTAAGAAAGTATTTACGAAAACGATTAATTTTCCTTTTTCTTGCTGGTTTAGTTAGCCAAAAGACTCTATCTGTCCATTTATGGTTGAGATGAATCTGCTTTTTGTCCGTCTCAATCATCAATCCATTCTATTTGTGGAGACAAAGCATTCAGAAGATATGTGAGTGAGTACGCAATAACATGATTCATGCGTGTGCCAGCTTACGCAGCAACATCATTTTCTTCTCTTGTCAGGAGGAAAAGCTTCTATAAAAGTCCTTCTGCCTGCGTACGAGAGATATTGAGATAGAGAGAGAGAATGGCAAGTAAGAGGAGAGAAAGAGATTGATTATAATTCTCAATAGCCTAAGTTCATCTCAAAAGGTAGCTTGAGAGCATGTAAAAGATATACGAACAATTCTGTTTGTCGTCTTGATCATCTTCAATTTCTTTTTAATTCAAAAAACTTCATCAACAAGTTTCTTGAATATACGTTTATTTCTTTCCGCTATTCTTATTTGTAGCGAGAAATGAAAATAACAAAAAAACGGTGACGATAGAAGAAGAAGAAGAAGAAGTAGAAGAAAAGTAGAAGAAGTAGAAGAAGTTGAAGAAGTAGAGAAAGAAGATGAAGAAGAAAAAGAAGAAGAAGAAGAAGAAGAAGAAGAAGAAGAAGAAGAAGAAGAAGAAGAAGAAAAAGAAGAAGAAGAAGAAGAGGACGATGATGGAAATCTTATTGAAAGCAGTTAGATGAGAAAGAATGGTCAACCTACTAACACAGACACACGCGTTTACACATACATACACGCGCACACTCACATAATTCCATGCATGAGGAAGGACACAGAACGAGAGAGCATTCATGGTGGTCAATGAAGAGGAAAATTCAGACAAGCTCAATTTTAAAACAATTCGTATGCGTCATGATTATCCTGGACAAGCACGTTGTTGTCTTGACTATTTTAAGCTACATGTTAAACAACTTCATTGAATATACATCATCGAGCACATCAATAACTTGAAAGATGCTCATAGAGGAACCTCCTGAAGATTTTGCTTTGATTCTCGAGTGAGGCAATAGCATCAAGTCTGACAGCATTCTGCTGCCCAACATTTCAGCCAGCAGTGGCCATAGCTCTGGCAGAGCATTAACCATATCGTCTGCTGTCCCAAAAATGGAATTGCACAAAAAGCCAATTGAGTGATTGAGTGAACGAAGCAACAAATGAGAAGAATACCTATTACTCATATAACTTTTGCTTTTAACGAATACGCAAATATGCACAAACACACACACACATATATACCCCCTCCTACTCTTCTTCATCTTTCTCTCTCTCTTTCTCTCTCTTGTCCTGCCTTCATCCCCCATTTCTCTTCACAACTACCAGCCTCAGCCCCATGTCATACACACAACATTCGGAGAGAAAAAGAGAAAGAGGAGGAAAAAGAAAAATAGAGACATACGGACAGTTATAATCTGTCGTCGTTTCTTCGTTTCAATTTTTTTGCCGATTGTGTGCGTACGCGTATATGTATGTGTGGTTAATGGAGCAGAAGCTTATTATCTGGGATATCCTGGCATCACCTTTGTTGCCATAATGCCTCATGTCTAATATTCACATCCTTTTCGTCTTAAAATTTCAACTTCATACACTCTTTGTTATTTTATCTCGCATTTTGGAAGTCGCCCCACTTCCTTCTACAGATTATCCTATTCTCCTAATTGGCTACTATAAGCTTAGGCAGTCATTCAAATCTTAGTTCACTTGCTTCATTGCTTTTATACACTATTTAAGCACTACCGGATCATATGAGCTGTAATGTGCTCATCTCTCTTTATTACAAGTCCGTCTATGCTGTTGTCTTCTCCAGCAGTATTCACTCTCACATCCAAGACATCTTCAAGATTATTTTTCATTTTTACTAAAAAATGGTTTAAGCTGAACACATTCAAAACTTCATGCTCACTCATTGTGGACAGCCGCAGATATTATAGCTCTTGCCGTAACACCAGCGCAGTTCTATCGCCTGACGGCCGACCCTGGTGCTGGATAAGCCATCTATCCAACCATCTTGCCTGCCTGGCGTCTCGTAGCATAGTAGCTTGCTGCTGGCCTGCCTCCCTGCCCATCCGGCCAAACGACAACCAGCTACGGTAGCGGCCTGGTCGGGTTGGCATCGATCGCTCTAGGGCGGGGCTGCTGCGCGCAACTATCGATCTCCAGCCCACTTCTAGTACATGCCCTTCATGCTTCTTATCACCCCCTTTACATAGATGGATTCTTCAAAGCTGATCATTTACTAAATTCGGTAGTCAACACATATGCACATACTCAAACATACACAGATTTATGAGCATGAAACTCAGCTCACCCATTCATATTACGTAAATAGTTGAGAGAGGAAACGAGCGTGAAAACGAGGTAAATTTAGCAAATATGACTATAAGGAGAAATCGTCAATCTACTAGCCTATTCCTATTGATGGAGAACATTCCTTCATGCATACTGTCCATAGACGTACATGTCAAGAACGGTTTCAGCTTTTCATATTCGTCCTCCAACGTCCACTACTCTCATTCACTAATTCGCTCTATATTTATGCGTATTTTGGCTGACTAGATGCTTTATTTTTTCCTCTTTTTTTTTCTCTTCTTACACATGTTTTCTTACAAGCTTTCGTCTTTAACTCAATTTTTCTGCCGCATTCATACTTTTTCTAAAAATTTGCAAAAAGACTATTAAAATCTTGTTGTTCAAAAACCTTTTCTCTTACTATGATTTTGTCTGTTTTTTCTAACCCTTTAGCTTATGTTTTTGACTTAAAATCTCATCCATATACATACACTCCAACACCCCCCATCTCACATTCTTTATATGCAAACTTTCCTATTAGTTCTTCACTCACAACACAACACAATATAGTCTGTTTTATTGAAGAGTGACCATAGCAACTTTCGCGTAAACATCGATATAGCTAATGCTATGCCCAACTATGGTCATCTGTCAGTTGCGAGAGAATACTCAATGGCATTAGACCACCCAATGTTTCGGGCCCCCTCCCTAGCATTCCATATTGCTTTCCGTTACTATTTTTTTACTTTAAATCTCATATTTCTACGTTTTCACGTTGACATTCGTCTCACTTTCCCTACGTCCCTGTTTTACTAATGACGTCACCTTTATAGTTTCATAATTCACGACAAAGTTTCAGAGCAGTGAAGACTCCTAGTCTCGCTTTTCTGAATCCCCATTTCCATTTTTCTTTTTCACACTTGTCACAGATTTGCTCTTGTTCTTATATCGATTTTTACTTTTTGTTTCGTTCACTAGTACTTCGTACACCTATACATATCTTTTCTTTGCAGTTTATTTTCAACCCTTAAAAGCCAGTGGCTCCCTCAGGATGGGAGGGAAAAACTCGAAACCCAAGTTGTCCAAAGAAGACCTTGAATTTCTCAAGAAGAACACAAACTTCACAGAGGAGCAAATCAAGGAATGGTACAAAGGATTTGTGGTGGGTCCTTCATTCTTTATAACTTCTTCCTAATTCGGCCTTTCGTCTCGCACATTTTCCGCTCAAAAAATGGCTTTCTGACTCAAAAGCAGAACGAAAGCATCTATGTTAGCATCGTCTCTCTTTATTACATTCAGTCCAAGAGTAAACCTAATATGGTTCTCCCTAAAAGCTACTCGCGCAACTTCTCGCACTCTCTACTTCCTATTCTTTAATAAAATTTTTTAAGAATCAAATATACTTTCGTTCTATCCTTTCTCATCCGTCCACAATATCTCTTCATGTTACAACTCGAACCCATATTTCCATTTTGTTCTGTCACTAAGTATATGCAAAGGTTTTTAATGCCCCACTTCGTCGGTTGGATATTTCGTATTTGGCTCTTTTTCAAATGGAAACCAATCTCATCCTAACTCTGTCACCCATAGAAACCAGCATACTGTTTCATACTGCTCTAGTAACCTCCTCACCGAACAGAATGAATGACGGACCTGTTGTGATTATACTTCTGATTCCTGATTGCGAGTGATCCTCCGGAGCGTTGTTTTCGGAAATAATCAGTCCCAATTCACAGATTAGCAGTTTCAACGGGAAAACCTGAAATGCACAATTGATTGCCTCATATTCAACATCTATAACACGAATGAAAAGTAAAGAACAACATATGTGGGCTTTCTCTAGTTCTCTCCGAGCCCATCTTCGCCCCATCCCCCATAATACTATAGTCAGAAGATAATGGAACTAATATTTTTTTTTATTACAGCAAGACTGTCCCAAAGGACATTTGACGAAAGAGCAGTTTATTAAAGTCTATAAGGACTTCTTCCCGTCAGGATCAGCTGAAGGCTTCTGCGAACACGTTTTCCGTACATTCGATACGGATAACAGTGGTTTCATCGACTTCAAAGAATTCTTGCTGGCTATTAACGTAACCAGCTCAGGTACGCCTGAGCAGAAGCTGGAATGGGCGTTCCGCATGTACGATATCGACGGCAACGGAACTATAGATGAAAAGGAAATGATTAAGATTATTGAGGTAAGCATGACTCCTATGAAAAAAGTCAATATGCTAATGTTATAGGCTATCTATGAGATGCTTGGACCCGAGGTAACCAAATCCGCCGACGATTCACCGAGAAAGAGGGCTAAGATGATCTTCGAGAAGATGGACGTTAACAACGATAAAGAATTGACGTTGAAAGAGTTCGTAGACGGCTGTTTGGCTGATAAGGAATTGTTCCAAATCCTGACCAACGAGGTCAAGAAGTAGGCTATCTATCTCTATCGCCATTTGTGTCTATTTTGTAATTGTTCTCTACTTTCATATATTCCTAATCATCCAACTACCACAAATGGATCCTCGAGCATTTCGTTTGTTTCAAGAAATTGCGAGAAAGTTAGACCTTCTTCTAATAAATCCCTTTCTTCTCTCGCCTCACAATCAAGTGAAGATCCCCTTGTAAGCATGTCGTCAAAACTCAAAAGTCCACTTGTGTTCAGAACTTTTCCATAAAGCGAATTTCTGTAGATCAAATTATAATTCACAACTCTTCTGCTCACTCACCTATTAAAGGTATATTTGGATAATTTTGTCGAAGAGCATCTATTGATCAGCTGAGGCCTCTTGTCCACACTGACCAATGGCTTCCGTTGTCTGTCCGCCAGTTTCCAAGTTTTTATTATATTTTTCATTTACATTACTGTTTTCACGTATTACTCCGTCCAAACAGAAATCCCGTCGTTCCCCTGTGATCTATTCTCATTCCTCTATTGTTAAAATTACTTACGGCGCGACAGCTTTTGGCACGCTTCAAGAAATCTAAGCCGATCATGCCAAATATCTGATTCCCATCTAGTTTCCTCTTCTTTCTCTGTTCTTTTTTTTCTACTTGGCCGAAATTTCCAAAAACAACATTAGAAGTTTTTCTCCAAGTTGAAATGTTGAGCCAATTACACGAGTTTCCTCATTTTTTCCTCGTGGACGAAGTTGAAAAAGAAAAGAAAGAAGTTGGTAAATCCTCAACTCTCTAGTCCCAGCATCCCGCCAGAATTTGTTGTCTCATTAGCCAAAGTAATTGAAAGCGAAAGGAAGGAGCAGATGCACATGCACACATGGTGAGAGAAAATAGTTGAAGATCTGCATACATCTATTCACCTTAAGCGTTCTCTCGTAACTCCATGTGAGTTGATAGCCCTCTTCTCTAACACTTTTTTCGCTTATTCTCTCGTAATTCTTGTAGATGTTATGTAATGAGTTTTGCCGCCCACAATGTTAGAGTTCTCGTCGTTCACCCGTTTTTTGCCATTGTAACCACCCTGCTCTTCTTTCTGCTACTCTTCATTTTTTGTCCGTCGTTTAGCTATTCATTCCGTACAAAACTTTTAAACGATTGAACCTATAGCCGCCTTGTGTCGACGCTGACAATGAGGATCCCAGAGACAGTGTGTTCTATGTTATTCTGTGTGTATGCGCGTAAATTAATTTTATATTGTATATGAATAAGTATAAATAATTAGTAAATATCGCTTCTAAACTTATTGCTCCAGCTTACATTTCAGAATATGCACAACTTTCCATTTTTCATCGTGCGTTATCGTCCGCCTCCCCCTAGAGGCTTTGCAAAGAGCTCTATCTTTCGCTATTTGCCTAGGGCAACAACTACATGCACACATCGGTCAAAATACGGACCCCGGCTCATCTCACATTCATAACAGCGCGATATATCTTGAGATCATGGCTCCTCAACTGAAAAAAGTTGTCTGATCGCCTAGATTTCGAATCGTCAATCTCTTCCTTCTCTGCCACAGAGACCCTCAACAACATTTCGCTGACTAGAAGCAACTAAGATCGATCAACGCGGCCAAGTCAGAGAATATTCCCGCAGACGCGATTTCTCACTTCCATAAACGGAAGAAGCCCAGACCAGCTGGGCATTAAACTCGTCATTCGGTGGCAATTGCACTCGCGATCACTAAGTCTTTTCAAGAAGAAAAAAGACCATCTGCAAGTTTCAATGAAAGCCTCATGATGGGCTATAGCGAATTTCGAAGAAGGGAAGAAACCGGATACACTGCTCTGTTTCATCTAATTCGGTCTCTCGTATCGAACAATCCAAAGCACAATTGGAGCACAGTTCCTACTGTCAATCGGCACTGCATTGCTGGAAGTACAAAGCGCTTATTGTTTCGAGGCACCCGACTGGCATTATCCTGCAGGAGGCGACTTAATTAGGTAATAACTTCCGTAGAGGTAAAATTACAAAGAGAAAACGACTAGAGCAACCCAACCAAACAGTTAGCCTAAGCAAAGAAGTAAGGGAGCAAGAGAAGACATGAATACGTCCACCAGTAAAATATTTGGCTTCCAACAGTCGCTGTATCCGCAGGCAATGTGAGAACAACTTCCAAAACTCAGCAGCAGACATAAGCCCTTACTTAGTAACTAGCATTTAGAATGACAGCTCAAAGAATTCAAAGAATTCAAAAAATTTAAAACGTGCCTGAACACTTAAAATCCTTCCTTTTGTTGTAGCGTTCTGCGTAGCCCGTCGTCTGATTTCTGCAAGAAAATAAGCAAGAACATCATAGAACCAATGACCACGCAACTCAAGATATTAAACGATGGCAGTAACCTCAAAGAAAGAGATCTTGCAATGGGCAAGATGTTTTATATTTGCTCTGACAAATTAAGAAAAGTCACAACCGATCATGAAAATAATATAAAGTTACTGGCTGGGTAGTATGAAAAATTATGAGAAAACAATATAAGATTATATCCAGATACAGTTAATCAACAAAATCGGTCGAGGAAGTGTTTTCAATAAGCTGATTACGTCTTCTTGGGTTTCGGCTTCATTTCTTCGAAACATTTATGTAATACAATCTTGGATCCAGTTTGAGTATTTCCTTCATGGCCCTGCAATTGGCAAACAATCGGAAATTCGTTACCACAAAGTAACGGTCTCTTGGGACCGTTATAACTTCTGCACTCCGTATCTACTACAAACTCAACTTGTCTGCTTCTTTTTTGGAATACCGAGAGTAACATAGACCTACCTTACTCCAATCATAACCGAAAGCGATAGCCATTATTTGTCCAGAGGCATGTATATGACAAGATGTTATAGGCATAGCATTGGCATCCGATGCTTTTAATTTTGTTCTCGCATCCTTATCCCACATGGAATACCTACGAGAAAAGCAAGTTAGGTCAAGTTACAATTAGAAAACAAACCTTCCGTCACCTCCAACTGTCACTAGTGTACCATGCTGAGGATGGAATGCTACATCGTTGACCTGCAAGGAAATGGATAGCTTCTACTCTGTTCATCCAGAATGGACAGAAAACAAATTGGGTAGAATGAAAGAAGATACAAGCTAGTTGTAACTTGATACCTATTATTAGACAGGCCTTTACTAATTTTATAAAATAGTACACGTACACGTAGAGCCATCCAAAAAATAACTAGTAAAAGCATGGCTGTTTATGTAATTTTAACTCCAGTGTATATAGGAAACCTAATCTGGTAAAATTCGAAAAACGAACCGCATAAATCTCTTGGAATCCATTAACCAATTCTGGCGATCGGTGGCACTTGAAAGTGAAGTTATCTCGTGGATTAGCAGCCTCAACGAACTGAACACCAACTCTTCCTTAAGTAAACGTTTTATTCGAGCTTCGTGGGGAAAGTTGAATCTATTTTTGATAAACTTTCCGATCACGTCATTTTCTTTTACATTCTTATTCTAATGGCTAGTTGGAGTAGCATATAGAACCACGAATCCATGTTGTCAATTGTTTCCTATCGAGACAGCATAGCTCATAAATTGCCTTCTACTTCACATTCCCAAACAAAAACCCAAGCCTTATACACAACTAACTAACAAGCGTTTAGAACAACTATTACTCAAAAGGGACATTTACCTTCTAAACAAAAGATGTTAAAGCTGTTGAACAAGCAAATATCTTAATAAAACCTTGGAACAGCTTACCCACTAGAACGCGAAGATAACTGCTCTAAGCGAAACGCGGTTCATGTTATGCTAAAATTTCATTCCTCCCACCCAAAAGTTTCACATCTCGATATTATTCCTGTTTTCACTGGATGAGACAAAACTACTAGAGCACAAAATGCTTATCAAATTTGTGCTTACTGCGTAAATACTCATTAAATAGCGAACGTCTAGTCAAGACATGTCAAATCGAATCAAACCCCTCAAAGGAAACGTGCTTGCTCTCCGTGAAGCTGGATCATTGAGTAAAATGAGATATAAACTATTACCTTCGATTGATCCAACAGCGAAACCACAAGGCATACTGTTATTTTTATCTTTGAATATAGCTATGCAACGATACTGAAAATCCAGAGAGCAATAAGAAAAAACTTTTTGATGACAAACCTGATACTTCATTCCAGTTATATCAATTGACTTAACCTCCTGTGGGCCATTCTCCAAGTTATACACCTAATCATTATGAAAAATGCGATAAAAACCACCCTGAGATGCAAACCTTAATAGACTTATTGGCTAAAACTACTGCGGCCATAGGATAGACTACATCTGCACAGTAAACCCGTTCAGGGAGCTGAAAATCAAGACATGTTCATGATCATCAATTTGATAAATTTGATAATACCTGGATATTAGCTAGGGAAGATTGAGTTGGAAGATTCCTCATATCCCAGAAGCGTAAAGTTTTATCCCAGGAGCCTGTCATCAGGCATGAATAATTATTTCCTTAAAAAACATAATTTGCACCGAAAAAATAAAATATAGAATATAAGGCATAAACACTGAAGCAAAAATTTTTGTACCAGTTATCTCACGATTTGTCATTTCAATTTGATAACATTCCTAGTTTACGAAGAATTGCTTTTGGCTGAAATTATGAAGAAAATTCACCTTTTATCCAATGGCATGTTCTCACAGGGCCATCATGACTGCCAACAACAGCAACTTGATTAGAGGCGAGATCCCATAGTCGAACATCTTTATCTGCTGCCGCAATAAATATTTTGGTTCCATCCTAGAAAGTCAAAGTTTAAAAACTTTCTCGATTCAAACGATTTACATCAGTCCAGTCTATATCTAAAACTGGAGCCGGAATGTTCTGTTGAGCCTTTGGCTCGCATTGTCCGTTATCATTTACCATCCAAACTCTAACAACCTGAACAGGGCAATCAGAGACCAACCAAGAAACAAACAACATACTCCATCCCAGCTACCAGCTGCTAATAATGGTTTTTCAGTTGTCTGCGGGCTGAATTTCACAACTTGCACAGTATCGTCGGGAGCACTGGGCACCTAAAAGAACCATTGGAAAAGTAAAGACAGTGGGCAACAAACTTCGATATCATCATTTGATGTGACATTGGTGGTGTTACCGAACAAAGACGTTTTGCTGGTATTGAATGAAGATGATGAACCAAACATCTAGTAACTATTAAGAGATATATAAGACACATACAAAGAAATATGCGAGGGGTGAAACCTCTAACGCGAACAAGAACATCGAAGAGCTTTGATCGTTTTGAATCTAACGAATCACCAAGTGACATTATTCAATAAATCACAAAAAAACTTGAAGAGATAGAAAGGTTTGTGAGACACAAAGTTTCTGAGCAAAAATATCCTTACAAGTACCACAGAATTGAAACCGGGTGATATAACATCAATTAACCAGCCAAAGGAGCAACCAGAATAAGGGGGTAAAACACGTTTTGTAAATGATAAAGTCACAAAAAATAGGGGAAATACGGAAATTTCGAGACGCGGACATAGACAAAATAAAGTTGAGCGAGCAGTTACCAACGAGCATAGTATAATGATAATGTATATAAAAAGTAAGAGGTTATACCAAGAATAAAAGTTCTTTTGGAAAACTCTGAACTAGATTAGAAAAATTAAGAACCTTTGGAGAACCGCCGCCACATTGAGCAACAAGCAAGTCGGAACCAGGAAGGTCGCAGTATTATACAAATATAAGGAATAGAGAAAAACTACTTTTTGTTGTAAAAATAATATGCCAACACTGCTGATACTGCAACGGCACCACCCATAAAAACAGCTTGTACAAGAGAACCCGTAGATTGCCGCTTAGCCTCTGCTGCTCGACTTTTCGCAACCATCTGCGATATGACTTCCCTTCTGAATAAATCAGTCTGTCACCTCACTGTCGAACCCTAAAAGGATGCTTGGGCTTCAAAAAAGAGCCAGGACCACAAAACACCCATAACTACTTTTTGTCTTATGGACATAAAAAAGTTAAAAAAAACTACAACATACCGTTTACTCAGTCGGTCCTCCGGGTCTTCTTGAGATTCAGAACGACGCTTCTTACATACATCTTGAGCTGTAGGATCCACGGCAGGATTAATTGATTCTAGAAATTGGAACAGGATCAAAAATAAATAAAGGAAGAAACTGATGTTTGTATCAAAAAGGAACTCACCTTTTACTAACTTTTCAGATGATCCGTCGACAATAGCTTGCCAAGCGAACCGAAGTTGCTGGCCAGTTTGGACTAAACCAAACCTTTGACAACGCATATCAATTAGTAAATCATGTACGGATATCTCTGACTGAGGTACACCAAGCTCAATCTTAATATGAGTTTAGAAAAGTAAAACTGTGGAAATTTACCATTCTCAAAACAGAATCAACTAAAACGAAAGTTCCTGATCTTCCAATACCTGCCGAGCAGTGAACAATTGTAGGAGGATCCGAATCTTCAATACTCAGAACGTTCAAGCCTGTAAAAATAGAATGACATAAAAAAAAATTGCATTCACTGACCTTTGATATAATTTAACATATCCAAGAATGCTGCAGTTGACTCCGGTACTCCGAAATCTGGCCATTCAGTATATTGAATTTGAAACAATTCCATGGTTTTCTCTTGAAAAGAAGTTTTTTGGCATAGTGAGCTCAAATAACGTACCTCCATCGTTAGCTTTCAACTTGCGTACGACAAAATATTCTTTTTCTTCTTCACTCAGAAGGGTGATGGTATAATTCTTGAAACAAACTTCCTTCTTGTCCTTATTAGGATAATACATTTCACACCTACAAAAAACTTTAGAATTGTGTTCTGGTGAAAACGAACTTCAAAGATCTCCCTTCATAAAGACGATTAAGCATCACAATACATGGCACATTATTTTCAAAAACCATTTGCCAAAAATCGGTCAGAGAATCAGGAACAGGACCCTATGAAGAAATGAGAAAAATCAGAAGGTGAACTATATATATATATACCTGAGACAAAATATAATTCCTAGAAGCTTGGGAAACAGCAACCGGTGAAGCGTTAATGTAGTCGGTGTTGACGTTGTTCTTCTTCTCCAGAATAACTCTATTCTGATCATCTTGGAAAAATGGAGATAAAGTACAGTAAATAATAAGGAAACTTACAAGGTGAAACATTATTATATCTATTTTTATCTGTGTGGATAGGTAACATTGCAATCTTCATTGTTAACTTCTCTCTTTTCATGGCGGTTACTGAGTCACTGTAAACTTTCTGTAATTTGAAATGTTTTATCGAGAACTATTAGGAATTTATACCTCAAAAGCTTCAAGCCAAGCTTTTTGACCAGTATTTATTTTATTGAATTGGGTCCTGATATCCATACTGCTGAAAAAAGACGGATGCTATATTCGAAACAGAAGCATAACGATAATTGGAAGAAAGAAGTTCCTGCTTAGAGATAAGAAATCTAGGGGGAAACTATTATTTTAAGCCACCAATACTTCAACTTTATAACTTTATAGCTTAGGCTTCAATAAAGAAACCAACTAATACTCTAGTTTCTTCTTTTCAAATACAGAGGGACTCTCAAATTTGAATTTGCAAAAAACATTATATTGGCAAGCGCCCTAAATTAGCAATAGAGCATGTCTCAATCCGAGAACGTCATAAAAGTTCCCCTTTTATCATTGCGGGCGTTAAAAAGTTATAAAAAAAGTAAATACTATTTGAGTTCGTAAACATTGGTATTAAAGAAACTTAAAACTGCAACAATGGTCATTCATGACAAAACCATCACAGTTTCATTCTTCTCTTTTCTCGCTATCACTTCCCACTCACTTCCATGCGTACACATGAGAAGAATCTCATAAGTGATCTCTTAGAAGTCTATTCACCCCAGTTAACAGAACAATCTATGATGTGAGAGAACTGATTAGCTTTATGAGTAGACTATGATTCTCTGATAAAGTTTCGAAATTATCAGAGTTTGCATACCTAATCCTTTTTCTAATTTTGGCAATAAGTTGGAGACGCACCAACCCACTGAAACTGATTATTTTAGTTTCAAAAATGCTTTACCCATGAGAACAGCCGCATGTCACTGTCGATTTGATCAAAATGACTCGGTTATGTCTTAGTTCACGTTTTCCGTGAAACGTGGATTTTCACGTTTCCACGTCTCACGTGTATCTTGTTTGTTTGTTGAATGTTATGATTCGATTTATTTTTCATTCAAAATAATGATGTCATATTTTCTATTTTGAATATAAAAAAGTTTTTTGAATAGCTCAGTGGGATGGTAGCTAAACTGTAAATACTTATCCATTTTGCGAGAAAAGTATGTTTGGTTCCGCCCAAACAACAAAATACGCTCCAGCAGATAAAAGGTCGAAAATAGTGAATTCAAAAAGAGTTTCTATTGATTTGCGGTAAACAAAGGAGTTATTTGTTTATCAAATCATAATTTATGATAATGTTATTATCAATTTTTTTTTTGCTCAATGATTGATTGGAATTATCAGCTGTAGAGTCAGCAAATGAGAGATATTGTGATTTTTGGATGAACAGTAGTGAAAGTACAGACTTCGTGAATGACTGAGTACAACTTTTGTACTTGGATCGTAATCTTCTGTCAATACGACATGAGCAACTACAAGACGTGTGCTAGCACGAGGCTCATGAGTGTCTTTTTCTCAGACTAGTTTTCATGCAAATTAGCTCTTTTATCAACTTACGCGCTTCTCTATGTTTCAGATCCACACATCTGTTTTTACTTACGACTGGCCGTTTCGTTGTTTTTGTCGCAGATCACAATTCAATCAAAGATGAGTTCAAATTGACGACTTTTCTCCTTTCCCACCATTTCTGTGTATCGGTATGTTTTCTTCGCTTTTCATTGTTGATAAACCTTTTTTATAGAAGATGCCATCTTCTCCTGAAGATGAGGAAGTCGTAGAGATACCTCGAGGAGCTTATGTTCCTCGTTCCAAGTTCATCCATGAGGTTAAAGAATCTAGTTAGTTTTGTTATTTTCGTCTAACTTGTTATACTTCCTCTTCAGAAGCTTCAACCAAGATAGTCAGTAGCGTTCTTCAGTCAATTTTATTCGAAATTAACAAGGTGGGCATGAGGGTGAGTAAAAACAACTTTACCTGCTTTTACAGACTCGGTTTCGAGTGAAACACAAACGATCTCCAGTATTGAGTCTTGAACTGAAAGATCGTGACAAAGAACTGCTTAAGAAACACTCAAAGTAGTAAAGTAGTATGGATGCTTTCAATATTATTTGTTTCAGTCGAAGTATATTGATTCAAAAACAATTAACTGATCAATTGTCCTCAGCCTTACCGTCCCTGCAGACATCATTGACACCATCAAAATCTTCTCCAGCCTTATGTTATAAGTACTACTGCTTACACAGATTCTCAAAACGAAGTTTACTCCTTTACAGCTCTCATTCCAAGAAAACAACCTTATTCACATTAGATGACACTATCCTTCTCCAAATAGCTTCCTGTCTGGATGGTGAGTTGAGAAGAAGCATAATGAGCTCTTCGATTTTCAGGGAAAAGTGTGCATATGCTATCTCAAACCTGTAAGAAGTTCCAAACGTTACTCACCGAGAATAATCACAAACTATCAAAACGCTTGGTGAGCAAAGGGTTTAAAGTGTTTGTTATTGGATTCTTTTAGGCAACGGCTTACGAAATCGTTTTATGTTTTAATAATTTTAAAAAATGCGTAGATGTGAGAGCTCTGAAAGTCGGACGCAGTTTGAGAAGTCTATCCTTCGAGGGATTCTCAATCGGTCAGGTTATTCCAAAATTAATTAATTGTATCGGCAAAGTTAGCAGATTAATTATATTTCAAACATACTTGAATATGCTTTCAGGTAACATTCGGTGCCGGTGTGACAGTCTCCAGATGGGCTGAAGAAGTGTTACGATTGTATAGGAAAGGAAATCTCACACCGATTTCGTTAATATTCACGGGTGGAAATCTCAGTAAAGGTTGGAATTCATTTTATCACTCGTAACATGTTCTTTCGTAGGAAGTCATATCGCTGGAGCAGACTTGCGAGGGTTCACAGAATCAGCGTTCATAGCGTTTGTTAAAAACTTTACTCCACATCTTCAAGAAGTTCAACTTTCAACAGCCAAGTAGGACTATTAGACTTTAAGTATGAACTCCTCTTCATTGTTTAAGATTATTCCGTCCGTGTACTAATACAGCCGGCTTACTTTCACTCATTTCTCACTTAACCAGTTTCGGAATAACTTACGAACGACCCGGTTTAAGGTATTACTTCGAGGATGTCAGGAGGGTCATAGCGGTATAGACTGAATTCCAACCATTGGACAAGTAATCTACGTGCCTTCCAGAATTGGCGGTATGATCCTCTGTCGCGTAACAGCTGCATGTATATGCGTTATCCTCGAGGATCACAACCGAAGTTGTGGGAAGACTGTGGTGGTACAATTGTATTATTCGAAGAGAAGATAGAACGGGTAGCTATTTCTCATGGTTTCCTTGAAGGAGTTGCATTAATTTTTTGTTTTCATTAGCTTCTTCATCTTCTTTTCAGGAACATTTTGAGTTTTCGTTTCTCTTCTAGTCATAATGTACAAACAAAAATGTTTTATAGACTAAAATAACTCGACTTTACAAATGACAATTTGTCAAATTAGATTTTTTTTTAAATCTCAATCACTAGTCTCAACTGATCCTTTTCTCACCATTCCATTCTTTTTACTGGAAGTATTTATTGTTTCAACAAAGTAAACAGTTATGCGAAGACTTGAATATTGAATAAGAATGCTGAAAATCACAACCGTTCTGCGCGTATGCAGTATCAACAATGAGCTTCTAAAATAGAAAGACACACCTAGTATCAACGTAGTTAAATCTCAACTGTGTCAGCTCATATGAGTCATTGCTGATCAATTACACTTAACACTTCATTATCAAATCATATAATCTCTATTCAATTCATAAGAAATACTGAAGTGTTGTACCTTGTTAGGAATAGTACCGCGAAGAAAATGACTCGCTTATATCAACCTCACTTCATAAGCTGCTAATGTACGTGACTTCTCGTGCGTGTAATACTTGCTTATTCAAAACGATTTGCGATTCCCTCATCTACACTGTCGTTAGCTTAGGTTTAGAAAATCTTCCATGGATGAGGAACTGAATGATGATTTTCATTCATCAACGATAGAAGATCCCGATCAATATCTCTCAGATTTTTACAAAAATCATCCTTGTGCCTCTAATACACGTAAGCGTCTCTGTGTTCCGTACAGTTTTTCTCTTCTTTCAGCATACGATTACTCAAGTACAGTCAAAATCGAAGAAGAAATTGATGGTGAAGAAGAAGTTGAATATGTGGAGGTTAAAGTGAGTGTTAATGGTTTGTATTTCATTATGTAATTGCATGGTTATAGCCCAAAGAAATGTGTGACTTCGTCCCTCCCTCTCATCGAGACGATGCCCCTCTAGCTTCTATTTTGAATCCAGCATTAGATTGTGTTGATCCCCGGTACGTTACATCTTCACAAACGATCTAGTCATTGCTTTTTCAGACGTTTTTTCCCCGATTATGAATCAAATGCTATTTTACGCTTCTCTCGAATATTTTCTTATAACATTAAATCAACTTCCAAGGCTGATATTTGGTGGCCTAGTCGAACATTTCACAAAAAACCTTTATCAGAAGAAGAGAAACAACTGAATGTAAGATTGAACATTGCACTATATTGTATCAACTTGATTTAAAGGATAACTCTAGTGAGAAGAAGAAGCTAAAGCTCAATTTAGCAGCTTCGCCTGCTCCCGAAGATCTCGAAAATCATCAAGAGGTATTGGCTACTCTTTTTTCAAAAGCTTCGAAACTCAATTTTGTAGTCATTACTTCTCAGTGTTAATGGTGTCTGTGATATGGGCAGAAGAGAACCGTCGAAGTTGAACGATGAGCTCTCTGAAGAAGCAATTCCTCCATGGAGAAACGGACCAGCCAAAATATGGTATGTTCGTGTTGTTTGACTTGTAACTGTACGAGTTGTAGGTATGATAAGATGAATGTTTCAAGCAGCAACTCTCATTTCGACTATGGTTTTAAATTGAGGAAGGTTTGTTAATTTTCATTTTATTTTTTATGACATTGTATGTTAGCAAAAGCCAGCACCTAATAAACCTGAATGCGACACACCCATTGAACCGCTCGCTCCTGAGACGTTTTTACCTGTTAATTTGATTCGATGGGAAGATGATGTTATATACGATGGAGAAGATGTCCGGGATCAAGTAAGTGTATCATTGTTCATTGTCGAAACCAACTCTCTTCAAGGTTTTAGAAGAGTTACGAAGTGGACAACAGCCTGCATGTGGTTGGATTCCAACACAAAATACACGAACATACGAGTCTTTCATTCAACACAGTGCGTTTTAATCATCAAACATTTTTTTCAATATGAATTTCAGTGCGAAACAGAACGTTCGAACAGATGTTCTCAAGAAGGAATAGTAGCCAGAACCTGTTTGGTCTTCCAGATATAGGTATACACACTTTCATAGTTGATATACTTTTGTTTCAGAAATACCGACAGAACCCACAGCCACACATTCAATTTTCCCTATGGAGAATCAGGATCTTCTTGATTCGAAGTGGGAAGATGATATAATTCTGGATGATCAACAGATGAACAAGATACCAGGTGTGAAAATTGTAGATGGGCTCGTTCAAGATGTATTTTAGAACCCAAAGTCTTGACTCTGGATTACAATGACGATCCTCTGATTTTCGGAATGCCTGAAGATAGGAAAGGAGATGATCTAGACTCACAACCAAACAAGGCATTTGATCGAAAGGTTTTTTCTTTCATATCACCCAAAACTGTTTCCTACTTCAGGAACATCAGTTTACCAAAAAGTCTAAGATGATTCTCGGCCAAGTTCAGCAGCGGCAGAAGCAGGAGGAAGAAGAGCAGGTTTGTTTTTGATTTTTCTGTTGTCTCCTCCTCACTGTGTATCTTGTTATCCAGATGGAAACATCTATGGCGCAGCTCACGGATAAAGACCCATTCAATATGAGCAACGATGATTATTATCTACCGAAAACAACCAATAAGACAGGATCCGCCGGAAACAGCATGCTCATTCAACACTCTATTCCTTCTCAAAACATTCACCGAACGTTCTTCCCAACTCATCTCTTCCCGAACAAGCTCCGATTATGGCACAGGTATTGTTCGGCCACCTCATTCTCTGAAATCTGAAATTTATAGGGTTCCATTATCAAAGAAATACTTCCGAGCCTTTAGTGTTAAGTTTACTCATATTCAAATCCTAACGCGCTACATCAAACGAATGGAAGAAGTACGACTTTTGATCTTCCACAAACTTACCAAAGAATTTATAGGAGAGAGAGAAGAAAAAACAGGCTGAAGGAGGTGGAGACATTTTCTTCATGCGGAAATCCGTAGATTTATCTGGACGGGATGGTGATCTCGTCATCATGGAATACAGCGAGGAGCACCCTCCATTGCTCTCTCAACCAGGGATGGCTAGTAAGATCAAAAACTATTACAAAAGAGTAAGTCTCTTTTTGATTTTCTGCATAATTTTTCTTCTTGAAGAAAGCTGGTAAAGATGTTGAACCAGATTTCGATTATGGAGAAATGGCTTTCTCTCATAACGTTCCTTTCCTGGGTCAGTTACAACCCGGGCAAGCTATGCAATCTGTGGAAAACAATTTGTTCAGGTTTTTTTTGTTTCTGTTTGCCCGAAACTTAACTGCTATCTCAGGGCTCCCATCTATCGGCATACGGTTAGAAACACCGATTTCTTATTGATCAGAAATAAGGGAGAGTGAGTTTTTGAAATTTTCGAATTCGAACATATGAGTGAGTCTGACTGAGTGCAACCGCTCACCTCTGAAAATAGTCGAAAAATAAAAACTCAGAAAAAGCTCACGTCATGTTTTACACGTGCCCGTTCCACGTGGTGAACGTGAACAACGTGAAATGTTTCACTCACTTTTCATTCTTGCTATTTCACGCGTTGCAGGTGGTCGTTGCGTCGAGTGCCTTCTATTTATCTGGTTGGCCAAGAATGTCCATTGTACGAAGTCCCTTCTCCCAATTCCAAACGCGCTACAGCTTTCGTTCGAGATTTTCTTCTGGTTCGTACTTATTCCACCTGTCCGTCAACATTTCTTCTAGGCTTTCATTTATCGTCTCTTCTGGGCAAGTGAATTCCGGCCGAGAAGACTCAAAATGGAAGATATCAAGGCAGCCTTTCCTCACTATGCGGAGAGCAGCGTTCGAAAACGTCTGAAGCAGTGTTCCGATTTCAGACGTTTCATTGGTCCTGATTCAAATTTTTGGGTATGTGTATAATGTTTAAAACACTTCACTGTTTCACCGCAATCCAGGTACTGCGTCCAGAGTTTCGTTTACCAAGCAAAGAAGAAGTTCTAGCCATGGTTACACCTGAAATGTGTTGTGCTCAATACAGTATGTTAGCGGCTGAGCAAAGGTTGAAAGACGCGGGTTATGGAGAAAGATATTTCTTCACACCTGAGAATGAGGATGACTCTGATGATGGTGTGACGATAGAAGATGAGGTATTTCATCTCATGCTCGATCTGCACTAAAAATGGATTCAGATTAAATGCGCACCTTGGAACACTACTAGAGCTTTTTTATCATCAATGAGAGGCAAGTGTTTATTGGATCAGACTGGTATTGCCGATCCCACTGGTTGCGGTCAAGGTTTCAGTTACGTTCGTGTTTCTCAAAAACCTCAGAAGGTAAAGATTTTTGAATGAACATTTCACGAAAACTGTTTATAGGAAGATACTCCCGCAGTTCCCAAACGTCTTGTGACAGGAACTAATGCTGATTTGCGAAAACTTCCGTTGAAAGAAGCCAAAGAGATATGTCGTGAGTATGGAGTTCGCGAAGAAGAGGTTTAGTTCGGACTTAGGCTTTCTTTCATTGAGTGTTAAAGATTGCCGCTCTCTCACGTTGGGAGATCATCGATGTTATTCGTACGCTTTCAACCCAGGCTGCCAAGGCCAAAGCTGATTCGTCAGGAGGAGAGCGTTCGTTCCTAGTAGTAGTTTAGTTTGATCAACTGATTATAGTTTCTGGTATGGCTCGTTTCGCTCGTGGTAATATAAGGTTCAACTTCGCTGACATGCAGGAGAAGTACAAGAAGCATTGTCAACATATTTTTGATCTCCAAAACCAGTAAGTTACTTCTTATGAAGGTATACAGGCCACTTGTTTTTTTACAGAACCTTGGCCAACCCTGAGAACCTGTCAACAGATGAAGGAAGTTCTGGCGAAGATTCTGATAATGAAGTGTGGTCATCTCAGCTAGAAGAAATGCTCAAATCCAACAAAAGTATAAAAATACTTTTTTCATTAAAATATCGCTTTATCAGGCAAGAATATATCTTCTTCTGATCGTGCTCGAATGGAATTCGAAAATGAAGAAAAGATAAGAAAAGACTTAAAGAGAATGGTTCATGGTGATGCTTCTAAAACGGAGAAGAAGGAAGTGAGCGCTGAGGAGAAGAAGAGTATGTTTTCGCTGTTCAAAGATTTG